CATTTTTAATTTTTTTATTTGGGGGAGTCTAATTTTTTATACCCCACCCCATTTTGTTTTTTTGAGACAGGGTTTTGTTATGTAGTTCAGGCAATCCTGCCTCAGCCTCCTGAGAATATGTAAAGAAGCACTCAGGAGGCTCCAGCACTTCAGACAGCATTTTCATGTGTTCAGAAGAAAAATCTCTCTAGAGATAAAGCTTCTTTTCTATTCTATTTAGCATTTGACCAATATTTGACCTTAAAAACTGGCAATTTCATATGATTCAACCCAGTAATTGAGAAATATGAGCCATCTTTGGAATTAATACATGAATTTCTCAATTCACCGTTCATAGTAGATGGACTTTCACGGTCAAAAAATCTGGGTGTTAGGACGTTTTTTCTTATGATTACATAACTGGTTAGATAAATTAAAACATACCTAACACTTCCTGTTATTTGGAATGTTTGCACAGAACAAACTGTAAGAGAAAAAAACAAACAGTGATGTCTCCCTCTACTGGTAGAAAGTAAAAGCGTCCTCAAAAGAAAAGCCAGGAAGTCAGGGTGGTGGAAAGTTAGAGAGGTAGAAAAGGAGATAAAAAGAAAAAAAAAAAAAAAAAAAAAAAAAAAAAGGATAGGAAAAGGAGAGTAGGAGTGACAGCAATGAGAGAAAAAGGTGAAGGAGAGAATGGGTAAAGCCAGACAGAAAGAGAGATAATTAAGTGGAAAAGTCAAGAAATGGACAAATAAGAATTAAAGGCAAAGATTAAAAAAAGAAAAAAGAGGTATAATCCAGGTACGGTCGGGCATTCCTGTAATTCCAGCTACTAGGGAAGCTGAGGCAGGAAGGTCTGTATAAATAAATATATATATATTTCTCTCCCTCTCTCTCTCTCTCTCATATATGAGAGAATTTTTCTCATATGAAAGAGAGAGAGAGAGACAGAGAATTTTTCATGGGTCATTTCTATAGTATCCCTGAATATACTGATCATCTTCCTTCTGTAATTTCTCATACTGGAGTTGAGACAATGAAGGTTTATCAACCTACCACCTGTGGAATGTCGGCACAGTGAAAATAAATGGGAAAACTCTGACTTTTTAAAAAACCAGATATCTCTGGAATCACTTGATATCTGAGTTTTTTTCTAAAAAAAGATGTTCAAAACAGGCAAAGGAAACATTATGAGAACTGTAAATTCCAATGGGTAGAGTTATGCACTCTCCTCGGGTAGAATATGATAAATCCTGAAGTCCTCTGTTCTGAGCCAGTAAGAGTTTCACGTGAGCAGTACCTATACCCTGTATACAGAGCCTGGATCCTAAGTAGAAGTCAATTTTGAATATGGCAAACTATTTTCAAAGTCTCAGGATATAACATAGGTTCATAGTCCCAGGACCTTAACCACTGAAACCAGGTAAATGGAATACAGTATAGTTAACTATTTATATAAAAGCAGTCCCTAGAGCAGGAGAAACACCCAGGGCAACACTTGGAGAAACAATTACCTTTTAAGACATTTAAACAAATCTATGCAGAAGAGGTGCTTAAAGTCAGATAAGTCTGGGTTAAAATAGTCATTTGAAAAAGATTTCTGAGTAACTTACATATATAGGGGTTTTTTTTTAAATCAGTGGCTTAGGCTATGCTTTTTATTTAATTTTCACTCATATCCTCAAGCTTTACCCATAATGAACTAGAGAGCATTTTTAATTGGGTTCTGGCCAGTGAGTTGTTAGCAAGTCCTAATCTGGCCCCAGTAAAGCACTAGTGGGTGAGTGCAGGAGTAGGCCAGGTCTGGAGGGGCTGCAGCTCAACAGAGAGGCTTCCTTAGGGGGCCAAAAAAAATCTGAGTACAAGGCCTTGGGAGGGGGCTGGGCCAGCTATGGGCCCTGCAGCTTCAGCTTCTTCAGTTTTGTGGTGAATCTACCTCTAGGTCTGTGCTATTTGCTTTAAGCCAGCAAAGTAATGTATGTAGCTAAAGCCTCAGAAGACAGATGGACCTTTTTAGTGGACACAAACTCTCAGGGATGTCACTGTCCTCACCCCCTACCTCACTGACAGCCATATTAATCAAGAAGGTTCCAGTGGGTGCGCATGTCCTCTGCTCATGGGTGTGAGGAAAGTGGTCAGGAAAGAGAAAAAGGATAGTTGAAGGGGAGCTTGGAGTAGACAGATGGACAGAGAGAAACAGAGAGAAAGGAGGAAGAAAGAGACAGAGTAAAAGAAACCCAAGTCCCCTTATTCTTTTAACAAGTGGCTTCCAGCTCCGACCTCTAACATTTTTCTCTGTACCTGTAAAAGCCAGTTGGAAGTACTCAGGATGAACTCTAAGATATAATTTTCCAATCAGTTTTCAATAAAAAGGACTTTCTTTAGGTCGATGGAGACAAATGCAGTTTGCAGTTTCTTCATTCCTTAGAGTTGGAGGGATTGTGTGGACAGAGTACAGGATGAGTAAGGACTCCAGAGGGAAAGGATGGCAAGACTCCATCATCCAGGAAGGGCTACGGCACTGTGAGCTGGAGCCCTGTGACCAGCTCATGGACAGGGCCTCCTGTCGTCTGTACTGAGCCCCAGGCAGCTGAAGCACTGCAGCTACACAGCTGCCTCTCCGGGAAGGGCGCTAAATGGTCATTTACATAAAGCAGCCCTCATAAAGAATAGTCCCTCCAACCCTGGCATGACATTCTGTGATGAATGGCAGTCAAAGACGCTGTGCTTCTCTGCTGCTGCCCTGTCAAGCCTGAGGGGAGTCCTGGTGGAGCCGAGAGGTTGCCAGGGAGTAGGAGTCAGCTTGCCTTGTCCCACCACACTGCGGCTGACCAGCCTCACTCAGCTCGACCACCCAAAAGATTCCAGCCCTGACCCAGCTTCCCTGCAAGGGCAGAGAGCTGCTCAGTTGCCCACCTTGAAAAACCACCAGTGAGGCAAAAATGATTTGGATGACTCTATTCAGGTCTTAAGGACTTGAAATGTCTCATGGGCCTGAAAGTCAGCCCATCTCCAGTTCTTTTCAATGGTGTTACAACTCCTCCCATGCTTCCTCTCCCTTCCCATCCTCCCAAGGCTCTCCCAGGTCTCCGTGTTTTGTTGCCAGTCCACCCACTGGCAGGATAGAGGGGCAGGAGAGAAAGGCAAGGACTCATCGTGAGACCAGCTTTCCCTCATTAAGGCTCTCCTGGGAGCTTGGCTCTTGCCTGGAGCCAAGGGCATTGAGCTCCTAAAGCTGCTAGTTCTTTAGAGTCTGGAGCAAATTCAACCTTCTCATCTAGGCTACAGGTGGGGTAGGAATCAGCCCAGGGTACATTAGAGCAAATAAAATAAACACCTGGGGATCTGCAAGTTCAGGGAAACCCTCTTCCTGTTCTCCCTAAGGCAGGTGACACTGCTCCTTTGGATTGCCTCTAGAGCCATAGACGAGAGTGGCGTTAGAATAGCGTGGGACCGCCTCAGTCACAAGAACATTAGTACAGCCCATGGTTATTTAGTAACTCCCCAGTTCTGAAAAAGCACAAGGGGGTGATAAGCCAAGTGATACTCAGTAAGCACTCACTGTATCAAATTTGCAGGAGTAGATTGGTTTTTGGTCGAAGGATCCCAGCCTCAAATATTTAATCCATCCCCTACTTTCACACATGAGGAGTTGAACAAGCCCTCCACACACACACCCCAGCCTTGAGATCTTCATTTGTAAAGAGAGAAAAATAGGCATGTTCCAAGAATATTTTAAAGAACAAAGGAAGGTATCCGGCTTTCTGAATCTCAGTAAGAAGGACCCCCACCACCACTGGCAGGGTCAAGTTTAGGATTTCCATGTCCTAGAAGTCTACCTATTCTGAAGCTTGTGTACTTTCAAGAACAGAGGTTGTAGAGTGACCAGGGATTTATGCTGTTTTCTTTGTCAGTGATTAAACTGAAACAAAGGATGTAAGATAGCTGTGATGAGACTTCAGAACACTTGGAAGAAAAACAACAGTCTTCTCAGATGTTGGCATTATCAAACCTCAGAAGCCCACTGATGTGTGGTTCTTGTTTTTGGTACCGGGGATTGAACTCAGGTCCTTGCACTTGCAAGGCAGGCCACCGAACCACTGAGCTAAATCCCTGGCCCTAGTTCTTGAAGCTGATGGAAATTTAGCAGCAGGAATTCTGGGCTTTCACAGAACAGTCTGGTCCCATTCCTAAGGGCTTCTGTGATGCCTCTGTCTTTTTTTTTTTTTTTTTTAATTTGGTCAAAAAGACATGACACTTACCATCTTTAAATGTGCAGCTCAATGGTATTAAGTCATAATCATGTTCTGCGGCCATTGCCGCCCTCCGTCTCCAGAACTGAGACTCCCCATCAAACAGTACTTCTCACTCCTCTCCCCTTAGCCCCTAGCCACCTCCATTCTACCTTCTTTCCGAGTCTGACTAGGTCCCTCATATCAGGGACACATACAGCATTTGACTTTTTGTGGCTGGCTTATTTCACTTAGCATGACGTCCTCACGGTTCCTCCACGTCGTAATGGGGTGAAATTCCTTTCCTTCTTCCAGCAGACTCCCATTCCTTTGTGTTTGGATAAGTTATGTTTTGTTTATCCATTCATCCATCAGCGGACACTTGGGTTCCTTCAACTTTGTGAACAGTGCTGCTATGAACATGGGTATATTTTTTATGCCACATGGTAAAAAATGGTTTTCAGTCTATAAGAAGCAGCTGCTTACAACTGATATAGGAAGGGAAAGCCTGTGACTCCAGGGGATTGTTTTTAAATTGTATTCTTTAAATTGAAGACAAAAGCCACAGGCACCTGCAGGTGATTATGCATTCAAACAGTGCCAGGTATTGATGTTTGCCATGTGCCGGGGCCCCTCCAGATGCATCTGGGGTGCTATCTGTGCTTCTCACCTCTGCTTGACTGAGATGTCACTAATGTTTCTCTTTTCTCACACCTACCCTTCCCCGCACTACCTCCCCCTTTCCATCCCATCTCCGCCTTCTCTTTGCTGGCTCCTGCTGTTCTCCAGTGTGACCAAGACCAGTGCATTCAGAGCACCAAATTCGTTTTGCAGGCCGCAGCCACACCCCTGCTGCAGAGCGAACCTAGTCTCATCAGCGATGAGATACACCTGCCGGGGAAGCCGGGCCTGGGCACACCGTGCACCAGCCTGACACTGGGCCAGCCCACACCACCCTCCTCTATACCCAACCTCACTGCCGAGGCCACGCTCTCGGACATTCTCCCCCTGAAGGACGAACACGGGGGCCACCAGTTCCTAACTCCAGACGAGGCACCCTCGACACCCAGGATGCTGGGGTCAGGCAGCCCTCTGACGCACAGCCGCACCATGCATGTGCTGAGCCTGGCCAGCCAGGACTCTCTACATGAAGACTCTGTGCGCGGCCTGGTGAAGCTCAGCTCCGTGTGACCCGTGTGGCGGCCCTGAGACCACAGGGCTCCTCCACAGGCAGAGGGAGCCAGCAGAGGATGTGCCTGCGGCAGGGAGATGACAGCCTCAGGCTTGGGATACAAAAACCACTAAGAAAGCCACACCCCTGTGTGATGGCAAAGAGCAGACAGGCCCCAGATCCTCCGAGCTTACTTTTATTTGAAATCTCTTCCCCTCGCTGAGCACATTGACAAAAACGAACAAACAGAGAAGTGGCTGTTTGCAGGTATTTGGGATCTGCAGGGTAGGCCTGGGGAGGAAGGACCTTCACTGGGTAGAGTGGAGCCTGGGAGGAAAAGAAGCTGCCTGGATGCTACACACTGTCTGCTGCCCTTGGAACAGACACACAGAAGGTTCCTGATACTTGTGGCCAGACTGAAATTGCACTCAAGTGTTATGCTACTAACATTTGAAATAGATATGCCATTCCATTTGTTAATTAAAAAAAAATCCTAAAGCGGAAAAAACCCAACCAGATGTGGATTTGCATGCCACGCTACAGTCTGTGTTACAGTGGTGTTGGTATTCCAAAGGAAATGCTGCTTTCTTTCTTTCTTTTTTTTTTTTTTTTTCTTTTTTAATTTTGTGGATTTTCAAGTGCTGTTTTGTTAGAAGACAGCACAACAGACCAAGCCCAGTGAACAACGCCATCGTCTGCTTACCCGGCTTCGTTAGACGAGAAGTGGCAGCACACGGGCTGTGGAGGGCTGCGGGTTCATCCTGTCCAGAACCAGTTAACCTTCTGTTCTGTAGTTAATGAGGTATTGTGTTGTGCCACCCACTGCAGTCTTCACCTCCTCATGTGATGAACTTATCGTGGACAGCCAATAAAATGATGTCCTCTGTTATCTTGGATTTCTGTAGTTATCCTTAACAGCTTACATGAAAGCGAACCCATCTTGAGGGCCTGGAGAGTTTGGTGTTTTTGAAGCAACCCTAGTGAGGAATAGTGTGAGAACAACCAAAACTCAAATTTGGGGGTTGTGGAGTATACCATGATCACCGGAGGATTTATTAGATGAGAGACAAGCTTTCCACCCATTTCCCCCCTTTAATCATCTCTTTTTGATGCAGTCTTAGTGGAATTTGCTGTGCACTTAGATTGCCATGCAGCAGTTACTCTGTAGTAAGTAGGGGGAGGAATGCTCAGGGAGAAGAACCAGTGCTGGGCAAGCTTCCCAGCTCACCTTTTGTGTTAATGTGTCACCAAGCCTCAGTGCCCCTGGAGATCCCAGTTAAGAGTATCCGAAAATAAGGAGATGACCCTGGCTCAAAGTCTGGGCTGAGATCATGTAGAGCATATTCTGAGTTAGACATGAATCAGAATGGAATTAAGAAAATTACCACTGTGTTCACTTCCATCTATCATCTCAAAGGGAACTGGCTTTGAACCTAGGGAGCAAGTCACTTGGGAGGCAGCTGCAGGGAACTTAGCAACTTCTCTCCTGGCTTCTTTCCAGATAATAAATCCAACAGCAAAATCCACTCAAATACAAAGTCAGTCTTGCTCCCTAAAACCACATGAAAGTAAAATACATTGATCATTCATATGAGTAACCCTAAAGGATTTGCATTTGTGGGAAAAGATTATTTCTTCTAGAAAAGAAAACTTGCCCTTTTATATAAAAGAAAGGGAAAATAGAAAAGAAAAGCACAACTTCATGTTTTACTTGGAATAAAACCAATTCTTTTTGCGTCCAAAAATAATTGTGCTAAAAAAAACCCTGCAGAATTCATGCCTCATGATATCTTTGAGTCATTTTTGGTTTTCATACTGCACACAAGTATAGAAAATGGAAAAGGTAAATTGCTAGTATTCATTTGTGATTTCAGCCAGAGCTCTCCTTGCACAACCCCACACGTGGTTGCATGCTCCTCAGGTGCTCTCCCTGTGAACACAAAATGATTGCTCCACAGAGGATTTTCCATGACTTCCTAAATCATCATTGCCTCTTGCCTCTTCCCCTCTGCTCCTTCGGCACCCTAGGAGAAAGCTGGAATGACAGAAAGGGAAGGCTGGCTTAATATCCCTCTAGGATCAGAGTGGCCAGTCCCCTCCTAGTTTCTGCCACTGGCCCTTGCAGCCCTTCCAACATTCTCTAATCCAAAGGCTGTTCATTTCCTATGCTCAGCCCTTCTTCTGATCATGAAAAAAATCTAAAAAGTAAGAATCACATAATGAATATTCACCTAAAATAGTCAACCCTCTAGATTTTCAGGTTCCACATCTGCAAATTCAACCAGTTATGGACTGAAAATATTTGAAAAAATAATCGTCTCTGTATGAAATATGTATGACTCTTTTCTTGTCATTCCCTAAATAAAATAATAAAGTATTTACATTGTATTGGGCATTATAAATAACCAAGGGGTGATTTAAAGCATACAGGAGACTCTGCATAGGTTATAGGCAAAATTCATGCTATGTTATATAAAGAACTTGAGCATCTAAGAATTCTAGTATCCAGGTAGGTCCTGGAACCAACCCTTTGGAAACTGAGGAGCAATTATATTTAGTATCAATAACCCCATCCCAAACCCAGTCCCTATATACACTTGGCATCACTTATCAAATGAGTTGAGGAATTTTGGTGAAATGAATCAAGGGAATTCAGGGTCAAGAATGAGATTAAACTGAAGGAGCCAATTTGCTAAGATAATATCTTAAAAACCAAAACCCCAACAGTTCCTACAGCCTTTTCCTCTATAGCTCAAAAATAAGACACTGTGGGCCAGGGATTTAGCTCAGTAGTTCCACTGCCTGCGTTGTAAGCGCAAGGTCCCAAGTTCGATCCCCAGTACCAAAAAAATAAATAAAATAAGACACTGTGCTCCCTGAGGCTCCCCTTTCCATGGGGCAAGACAGATGGTCTGGGGACTAACTCATCCAGTGAGGTGAGGGCTCCGTGTCTTCCATTAACTGATCCATGTCGACTGGATCCATCTAGTGCCACTGGGTAGACTTCGATATTTCTAAATGTTTCCAGTGAGTTACTGATGGGTTGCATGCTAGCTAGAAAAAAGTAATAGAAATATTTCACTATACCATTAAAGCTTAGACAGTAACACACGCACACACACACACACACACACACACACACACACACATGCAATTACATTGTTTAAAAATTCATCTGCTTCCATCCTCCCAGGAATGCTCTGGGGACCACAGGTCTCTCAGGCACTCAAAGGTTCAATTTAGCCAGAACACCCATTCTCTAGGCTGGATAGAGCGCAAAGGCAGTATTAGGCTGCATCTGAGAGGACACCATGATATGTCACTGTGTTCCTGAGTATCAGCCTGGTATTTGTGCTGGGACATTTGTACATACTTGAAAAATGCTTGTTCCAGCTTTCACATGTGATTATTCATGCTGGCAAAATGAAGCTATGTCCCCAACCCAAGACCACAAGTGCTCCATATACCTATTCTGGCCCACAGAGGCACACAGAAGAGTCTTTTCAGAAATTTCCCCACCCTCAAGTCTACAAAATCTTTGCCTACTGTGGCCAGGATTTCTGCCAGGGATTCAAAATGAGAAGCAAGCCCCATTGTGTGAGCCACATTCCACTGAAAGCAGAGTGTCAGCCCTTAGCTCTTCAGCCTAGACCTCCTTGTTTGATCCAAGGGAAAAAAAAAAAAGAATTTGTAGAAGTTGGCAGCAGGAGTCCTGGGCATGGGAGTTCATGATGGTATCTCCAGAGATATGCTGGGATGGACACTGGTGCGGGCTTCTGAAGGGCACAGCCTAGTAGGTTGCTCCCTGAGGGTCTTGGGGTCTCCCAAGCTACTCCAACCCATGCTCTTGATCAGCACACACCCTCCTCTTTGTGCCAGGAGACAGCTGCTCCCCAGCCTCAGTCGCATTCAGGGTTTGGAGTTTGTGGGAAGGTGATAGGGGTTATACTAATATGATATGGAGTCTTTTTTTTTTCTATGACATGGAGTCTTTCCAGAGGGAGTTGCCTCTATTGATGTACATGAGGACATGTTTAGTCCATTTAGTTCCTGACCACGCAAGACAAGAATAAAGAGAGCAAATGATAAACATATTCTATAATTCCTTACTGCTGTTCTGAAGCTGAGCCGAAATTAAATCGACGTTTACATTTTTTATTAAATGCACATGAGTTGTGGATATCTAGCACATTCTTTTCCAAAAGGGAGAGGCTTTCAAATGAATTCTTACTCCTCCTGGTCCCCTCCACACATCCTGGAGGTCTAAGTGTAGCACTGTACACTTCTTTCTATGTTACCTCATTTTAAAAAGAGCTGCCTCTCAGTTACTCCCTTCAAATATCTCTCTCTTTTTCAAATAAGCTGTCATTGAAATATTAAATGAACAGAAGTGTCATTTACTTTCAAATAAATGTCAAAGATACTAATAGTTCTGTAAACCAGTAAATCCTCTGTCTATTGCCCATTGTACATGGTCCTAATAACACAGCCAAGATGGATTTTCAAATAAATCTAGTTAGTACACTAATCCAGCCATTAAAAATAATTGGGAGATGGAAGATTAGATTGTTTTGGGAGCAACTATATTTGCAGCTGCCACAAAGCTAAATAAACGGCTTCAACTGGAATTATTTTTCAATCTCATAAACCCCAGGAATTATATGCAGAGTGGGTTGGAAGGCAAATGTGCTATAGCAAAGATTTTTTTTTTCTTTCTATGAATTGTTGAATTTTTAAAAGAAACTAAGTTTTGATAAGAAGTATATTAATAATATAGCTCTTAACCAACCTAGATATTTTAAGATATTTGTAGTTAAACCAAGAAGCCACATGGTATATCCAAGGAGGCATGGTTTTGGGGCTCTGAATAAATGGAGATGGTTTTAGCCTGCAAGGGCTGGGGACATAGTCGCAGCCTTGCTAACCTTTTGCTCAGCGCATTCTGGATTGGTCTTTCATAATACTCAAATATTTTGGCATGAAAACAAAAAGAAAATCATTTTAAACTCAGGGCATTCAAAGCCCTGAGTCTGAGCAATGGTGAACATGTGTACATAAATTTCATGTTTTTAGAGAGATGTATGCTAAAGTGCCTTTCATGTTTTAATCATTTGCAGAACTGATCTTAAACCTGAAATGAATTAAGAGAGCATTTTTCTCCTTCAATAAAAACTGCTAATGACATAAAATGTAAACCTCAGTCTTTATGGGAAATATTGTGTAGGTTAACAGCAGCACAGAAGACTAGGATCGACTTGTACTCGATCCATGATCACTCTGCAGATACCCGTTTCAGAAGATAGTGGGTTCAAGAAAAATGTGTGCCTTATAATCACAGCTGTCCAGGTTTCCTACCACAGCAGCTCTCAGATTTTTCAATTTGTGATTGACTTTACAGCAATGCAGAAATTCAAACCCCCTAACCTATTTGTTCTGTGCTCTGCTTTCTAATACACACACACAAACACACACACACACACACACACACACACACACTCCAACAAAACCAGATAAGAAATTTGGTCACTGGTAATAAAATATCCAAATAATAGTGACTTAAGAAATAGCTGTCTTTTCTGTCATTTAAATAAATAGAGAGGTAGGCCATCCAGGGTCAGCGTGTCCATTCTATAATGTCATCAATGTAGGAATAGA